AGATTAGGGGGAGGAAGAGCGGAATTGAAGTAATTTGTAGGGAACATTCATGTAGGGCAACCCACTCGACGTAAATATTGACACATATCTTGACGTGTGAGTTAAATTAAGACCTAAGATAAGAATTTTTTAATATGCTAAGATGTTTACGAACTTTAAATTGTTTATACTAGGCGGTGAGCTCGAGATGAGTGTGAGAAAACTTGTTGTAGGGCTCTCCATCAATTCAAGTGAAATAATCTTGTTTAAGAAAAAGAATTTTCTATAAGTTTCTACATGATTATGTTTGACATTATTGCATTTAAAATTTTCGCATATTGTGGATGAATACATGTATATAATGTATGAACGTAAACTTAATTTGCCCCTTACGATACCTGTGATTTTACAATTTCATGATATTGATGAATATGTTTACAAAATCATTATTATAAATATTCATTTACTCTGATTCATACATATGATATATAAAATGCCTATGATGAATGGTTGTTATAGGAATTATGATTTAATAAAAGACACAAGTGATGCTATAGGTAGGTTATTACATGAATGTTTGCAAAGTACGGATGACAAAAAATAATGGGAATCCCGACTCCTGCCATTCAGACGAAGACGAAACTACAGAAATCATTGGGATTAGACGAGGAAGGGACAGAAAATCTTCGATACTAGGTGTTATTGATAACTGTTATATTAGGGGAGTCGAACCTTTATCAGAAGTTAATCTAGCATCGGGTTGGGTGACGACCTAGTGACATGACATGATATGAGAATAGTTGAGACCTATACAATTACAAGTGATATTTATATTATTAAATTAATGATTTTCATGAAAATGTTTATGACTATACATTAATGGATAAAATACATATTTTATGCAGTGATCATAATTTCTTGCATTACATGTGTTTCTTTCATATATTTTATACGATTGTAGCATGTTGTGGATTTGTACATAAATTAAATGTGAACATGCACATTGTTTCCTTTATGTCTATAAAATCATATTTAGCATTAATTATTTTGCTGAGCTTTTTTTAGCTCACTCAACATTGTTGACTTTAGGGAAGGGATAAAAGCGTCGAGGCGAATAGCCGTATGTGATTTACACAACTTTTGCATTATAATTTCGGGAACAATTACATACTTTTGGGGTATAATTTTATTATGTTGTATCTAACAGCTATGTATAAATATATATGCTTGTGTAACATGATTTTTCATGTTTGAAAGTATATGTGAATATGAATGAAGTATGAAAAGAAATGAATCATGTACATTGTTATGATTTAGTTAGACTGCTCATTTACATAATGAGTCCTATATTTGCAAGTCAGGATTGGTGATGATGATAATTTAGTCTAGCCGAATTATACATCTTTATCGCACCGTAGTTGACTATAAAGGAGGGGGCATCAGTTGGGGTATGACATGATCTAACTTATTTTTCTATCCATTATTTTTCAACTAGTTAGATAAACAATGAAAAAAATGTCAAGAGAAAAATTTGGCATTACACTTCTCGTTTTTTAATCTTTCACATATTTATTCCAGCATCTCTTGTTATAGTTCCTATTTTCAATTCGTTGAAAAAGCAAGACTGAAAGAGAATTGTAAAAGAGTGATTTAAAAAGTAATTTTGTTTTCCTTTCACATGTCAATTAAAGTTCGGGTCATGCCAAATTTTAGAGTCTCGCAAAATAATAATAACTCTGAACTTCAACTAAAAAAGTATTTATGAAGACGATGTTATGATGCACGCTTGATAAGGTTGCTACAACAAGAAGAGCTAGGATATAGTTCTTACTAGATTAGGTACGCTATGAGGAAAATAAATAGTAAAGTTTTAAGTAAGGAAAAAAAAATATTAGCAATTAAAGCCAATGATCCTCAGTCTGGTGGTATCAAGCAGAAGGGTTTACCTGTGAAGAGAATTGGCAGTTAATTGCACTTCTTCCATTTCCATAACTCCCTTGTGTCTCTTCCGGAAAGTCTCAAATAGCTCATCCCTAATAGATATAAGCTGATGGAACAACATAAAAACCATAAACCACAACCAAGATTAGGTAATATCATAACAGGTAATTGAATCTTAATTTCGATGCCGAGATGTAACAGTTAGAAGCTTGAGAAAATCAGCTTAAGAATATAAGCACGCCAATCTTGATCATCATCAACGACAACAACAGCATCATTCCAAATACGTTGGACTCAGAATTTTGAGTCCTCAATCTCTATTCAATAATACTTGTTGAATGAGCTATTCAACATATTCTATGCAATTTTTAATGCACAAATTATCCATACTGTATTAATTCTTAATCCCTGGGCATCAGTTATATGGACAACCAGTTAAAATAAAAAAGGAATAGAAACCAGCAAGAGTCGTTTGAGTTGGATCGTGCCCGTTCTACTTTACAATATGGAAAACGGAGGATAAAAAAGGGAGAAATAGAGAGCGCGCGGAGATCAAGACCAAAGATGAGCGGCCGAACAAGTGCGCAAAGCAAGCTGAATGGGCAATCGAGCCAAGCAGTAGAGCCGGTGCTGGATTTGAGGGCACAATCGTGTCTGAATTCGATTGATCATGTGCAACAGTAGCATAAGAGCTGGTCTTGAGTTTAAGATTTGTTCTCATTTGTTACGGTAATCCAAGTAAATTTTTGCTGGTGATCTTCATATATATATATAGATATATATATTAGAAAAGTTTAGTGATAATTTATATTTGAAGGAAAATACATATTAAACTAATATGCTGTATATGTATATAGTTTAATATGAGATAAAACAAATAAATAAAATGAGAATAAATTCTAAAAATATACTAAATAAAGAAAAAAAACATAAAGAATTTTATAAGATTATAATTGTATAATGCCAAATTTTATAATTTAATAACAATACTATATTAAAAAAAATAAATTTCTCATATATGTTATTATTGGTGTAAATTAAAGTAGTAAAACACAGAAAAATTGTAAAACCCAATTTTTAAAAGGTAAAATTGTGAAATTCTCAAATTAACCGTACCTAAAATCAGACCTTTCTAAAAAATCTTCATAAATCATACCAATACGTTCTACTCTGCAAATCGATCATTTTCATATATAGAGCTATATACTAGTTTTCAAAAACGAGGGAGTTATTAATTAGTTTTGGTTTTAATGAAATTTTCTTATGTTTTATTTTAAAACGCAGTTCACACTAAGGTTGCTAAAGGTGGATTTCTGGTTTTTCCAATTGCGGAGACAGCCAGAGACATGGCAAATGATTAATCACTAATATTAGAGTAACACAAATAACTAACATAATACAATATAATATGCATATATATCATTAATTAAACTATTATATTAACAACTAAGGGGTTGTTTGGGATCTGTTTTATTTTTTTGTTTTTTTATTTTTATTTTATTTTTTTAGGTTTTCATTTAAAACAAAACATATTTGAAAAGGTATTACAAGGTTAGTTATTTTTAAAACACTCAAAACAACAACTTTTTCATGTTTAGAGTATTTTTAAAAAACAAACTACCTTGTTTTAAAAAAAAAATAAATGTAAAAAAATGGCTAAACAAAGCAAAAACAAAAACAAAAAAGAAATAAATACAGAAGTGATCTCAAAGAAGCCCTAAACCTTAGGCTACCTTGCATTTCCCTCAACCTGTGAACTCCAGGAAGCTGAACCCGAGAGTTTGCTGGGGAGGAAACTAAGAGAAAAGAGTAGGGAAGTAATAGGGAGAAGAAAAAAAGAGAAGAGGAGGAGGACAAGTAGAGAAGGGGAAGAAGAGGAAGGGGAAAGAACAAAGAGAAGAAGGGATAGTAAGAAATTTGTTCTTGAGCTAATTACGATTTTGTTGTTTAATGAATTGATTTCAATTTGGAAAGGATGATTTTTAAGTTTATATGAGGAGAAATAATTTTGAGATTGTTTACAAAAGGAAGAAAATTTGGGGAGTCTTGTTCGATGAGGTAAATCATCAAAAATGTAAGGTTTCTAATACTAATACAGAAAATATATTTTTTGATATTTTGCTAGTATATTTATATATATAACAGATTATCGTTTGAAATGCACAGTATAAAATATTCTTATTTTGAGATGCATAATTATAATTTCTTGAGCATGAATAAAGAACCACCTAAAAAATTGGTGGATACAAACTTGCAAGTGCCGTTCGATTATATAAATGTTTTGTTAGTTAGTTAGTAATAGTGTTAAAAAGGAAGTATCAGATACATGTAAGCTGCTCGTTTACATATGCAATTCTTGCAATTCTTTAGCATATCATATGATGTTCTTCAACATAATTTAAAGAAAATCGCATGTTTATTAAATAGTTCAATTATAAAAATACGTGGAGCTTAAGAAAGAACAAGTTGATAATGATATGTTAATATTATTCTGCGTAGGCAGAACAAAGGAGTCCTCCATAGAGGCAAAAAGTTCATTAAGGCAATTCAATAGCAATAATGTTAGGTTTCACCAGACTTTATTGAACTCGATAATGTAGCCTTCGGTTGAGTTATGTTGACCAATAACCAAAAATATTGTACATGACATTCTAAAACTAAAATAAAATACAAATCTACAAGAAATGATTAAGTAAAAGGAAGATTTGATGCATTTAAAGTCATGTAATTATCCTGTTATTTTATGATACAAAAATCTTATTTCAAGTTTCACGTTTTAATTGTTAAATAAATCTACGTATCACAAGTACTCACTTTTATAATTTGGTCTGTTCATGACTTGTTTATTTTTCTCTATTATTTAAATTATATATTAGATTTATTCATCTTGTTGATTCTAGCAACTCATCAGATGATTAGAATTGTTTCTACAGGAAATGGAAAAAATGTTGACTCTGAATAAGATTGGCCTCATTTTGGGATTATATTCTGTTGTATAGTTATTATAAGATAAAGAACTTCGGAGGTAAATCAACACATAAATTTTATGCTCTCTACTATGGGTTTTAAATGCTCTGTAAATTTATTTTAATGAAATATTTTGGATTGCTTCCACTTTACTTAAAATGTTGGAGTACACTAGATTTGAATAAATTGAAAAAATGTGCATTATATCATTTCAATTGAATTTAGGTGAATAACGATATGACATAGTTTATTTTAGTGAGTAGAATACAAGAACGAGTGTTTCAGATGTATTCAATCAGCTAAATCACACTTGTCTCTATTACGGCTTGTGTCAATTGATGGAAAGGGTCATCATGTGGCGTGACAAAATTAAATCTAACCGAGGAAGAGAGAAGAGAGAAAGCATGTTGGAGAGAAAGTACGAGAGAAAAACTATATAGAAGTAGCCTAAAAGAGAGCAAGAATAAGAGAGAGAGAGAGCAACCCAAGCAAGCAAGTAGGCCGAACAAGCAAACAAACTGAATGGGCGAGCAAGCCAAGCCACAAGATTTGGAAGCATGATTATAAGTGGATTCCATTGATCATGCATGGCACTAGGATAATAGCCAACCTCAAACACAATGTTTTTTTCGCATTTGAGATTTCAAAGAAAAAGGCATTTACACACATACACACACGCGCGCGCGCGCCCACAGTTATCTTTTTCTTTGTTTACTATGTTATTTAGAATTTACTTTCATTTTTTTTTATTTATTTATTTATTTAACCTCTCATCTTAAAATATAGAGATATGCATGACTTAAGTGCTAATCTACACATATACTGTGATGTTATATATATATATATATATATATATATAT